CGTCACGTCCATCTCCGACAGCAGCGCCTCCTCCTCCTGGTGAGAGAGGAAACAAGATGGCCGACATTATTGGATGTACAAGATGGCTGCCATGAAGAGAATGGAATCATCCATGAGGACAAGATGGCCGCCATCAGGGGAGAAGCAAGATGGCTGCTGTTAAGAGAATGGAATCATCCATGGGGACAAGATGGCCGCCGTTAAGGGATGGGCAAGATGGCCGCCATAAAGAGAATTGGATCATTTATGGGGACAAGATGGCCGCCATTATGGGATGAACAAGATGACCGCTGTCAGGGAATGGAATCATCCATAGGGACAAGATGGCCGCCATTAAGTAAATGGAGTCATCCATAGGGACAAGATGGCTGCCGTTAAGGGATGGGCAAGATGGCCGCTGTTAAGAGAATTGGATCATCTATGGGGACAAGATGGCCGCCATCAGGACAGTGGCAAGATGGCCGCCATAAAGAGAATGGAATCATCCATGGGGACAAGATGGCCGCCGTTAACGCTGCCCCGTCACGTCCATTTCCGACAGCAGCGCCTCCTCCTCCTGGGCACAGGGAAAACAAGATGGTTGACATTATGGGATGGGCAAGATGGCCGCTGTTATAGGATAGGGTTGAGGCAAGATGGCCGCTGTTAAGGGATGGGCAAGATGGCCGCCATAAAGAGAATGGAATAATCCATGAGGACAAGATGGCCGCCATCAGGACAGTGGCAAGATGGCCGCTGTTAAGGAGGTGGGGTTTGGGGAGGGACAAGATGGCCGCCGTTAAGGGATGAGCAAGATGGCTGCCATCAGGGAATGGAATCATCCATAAGGACAAGATGGCCGCCATCAGGGGAGAAGCAAGATGGCCGCCGTTAAGAGAATGGAATCATTCATGGGGACAAGATGGTCGCCATCAAGGGAGTGTCAAGATGGCCGCTATTAAGGGGGTGGAGCAAAGGGCAGGGCAAGATGGCCGCCGTTATGGGATGGGCAAGATGGCCGCCATAAAGAGAATTGGATCATCTATGGGAACAAGATGGCTGCCATTAAGGGGTTGGGGGTAGGGCAAGATGGCCGCTGTTAAGGGAATGGGATGATCCATGGGGACAAGATGGCCGCCATCAGGAGAGTGACAAGATGGCCGCCATTAAGTGAATGGAGTCATCCATGGGGACAAGATGGCCGCCGTTATGGGATGGACAAGATGGCTGCCGTTAAGAGAATTGGATGATCCATAGGGACAAGATGGCCGCTGTTATGGGAGCGACAAGATGACTGCCATCAGAGAATGTGAGCATCCAGGGGGACAACATGGCCGCCGTTAAGGGACGGACAAGATGGCCGCTGTTAAGAGAATTGGATCATCCATGGGGACAAGATGGCCG